CCAGAACCTGCTCGGGAAACACCTGCCCTCCTTCAAGCCGACGCGCCCAGCCCCAGGCTCTCCCCGCCACTTGGCAACGGGCCCTTCCGTCGCGTCCTGCGCGGCTGCGCACCCAGGGCCCCGGATTAATCTTGCACCCTACATTTCCCGCCACCGTTCTTGGCAGTGAGATCTGACCCAACACCTGGCCCACCGTTTCTTCACCTCGCCTCCAGAGACTCATCCTGACTCCTTGTCACCGAGCTCATACACCGCCACTGTCGCTGCCATCCTCGGCACAGCCTCCAAAGCCCGGAACGCAGTCGCCACGTGCTCGGATCCCGGCTCACCTGCTGCCCACGACAGCGTGTGGACACCCTTGGGACCTCATCCGGTGCTCGACTCACGGGCAGCCTCCCCTGTCCACGCCAAGCCGCGCTGTGTGGCTGCTCCTTCACAGCCCTCCGCGGCTTCCTGGCTCCTCTCCCCCTCCATCCTAACCCGGGTAGAACCCAGCCGTCCTCGACGCTGTCTGCCACAGTGAGGGCGGCCTGCAGCGTAAACGCGACAGCTGAACAGCTGGTTTTCCTGAAACGACTCTCCAGAGGGACTGAACGTCTCCGGGAGTCCCAGCCCCGTGAAGCTTGCTTTCCTACTCCAGGAGTGAGTTCCTTCATAACTGCTCTCTCCCTGCACGACGGCTGTCGTTCTCAACGCATGTGTCTGTCCCCTCTCTGTCGACGTCGCTCGGAGGCCGGATCTTGCCAGTGGTGTGGGGGCAGCCTCTGCTGTCCCAGGACTTCTCTTTCTGTCATCATCTCTCCCCATGATCTCCTTTTGTCCTAGGAGGCTTTTTCCCTCGACACACAAAGAGCTCTATCTTCCCAACTTGAAAAAAACCCTCCCTTGTCCCACACCCCTCAGTTACTGCTCCTTTTCCCACTGGGCCGAAAGAGCTGCAGCAGGCCCTCCCCGAGGCCACCTCACCCAGCATTCGCCCACTGCTCTTGGGACAGCTCTGCCAAGGTGGGCACTTCTGCCACCACTGGTGGGCACTTTCCCAGGTCATCTAAGTCTGGTTCTCAGCATCTGATGAAGTGAAGGACGCCCTCCTTTTAGACGCTCTCACTTCTCCTGGACCTAGGATCCAGCAAAGTGCCTTCCTACCCTGTGGACACTCTGTGGACACCTCCTCCAGCAGGGGCTGTGGCCTCCAGGCTCTGTCCTGGGGCCTCCCTCCTCTCTGTGCTCTGTTCCTACGCAGCTCACACACTCCCACGGTCCTAAAAACCACTTAGCCCCATGCTGGTGATGCCCACATTTAATTCTTCAATCCCAGAGTGGCACATCCATTGCCTGTCTGACATTTCCAAAGAATCTCAAATTTAGTATGAGCAAAAGAGAACTCTTGACTTTTTTTTCCACTCAAGCTTGTTTCTCTTCCGGTTTTCTCCATTCAATATATCCACTTTGTTGCTCAAGACGGAAAGTCAGGAGTACTCCTGGTCTCTCTCTTTCCCAAACCAGTCCATCACCAAACTGAATTCGTCTACTTGGCTCTATCCTCATGGCAACCACTCTGGTGCAAGCCACCACTGCCTGGTTCCTTCTTGCCTCCTCTCATCCACAGGAAGCCGGAACAATCGCTGAAAAACAGACAGCAATCATGCCATTCTTCTACAGCCTCCCACTGTGCCCGTAACAACATCCAAAGCCTTCCCGGAGTCTCCTGCATGCGGCTCCGTCTTCATCTCGTGCTGCTCTTGGCTGAGTTCATCCTGCACTAAGTCCACTCGTCTTCCCTCAGCTCCTCAGCCACATCCAACCTCCTCCCTTCTTGCAGATGCTCTTGCTCTGGTTCTTTGTGTGGCTGACCTGCGGGTCTCAACTCAAATGCCACCTGTGTACAGAGGTCTTCCCCGACAGCCCGTGAAAAGGGGGTTCCTCCCCCTCCCTGTTCCATATTCTCTTTCAAGGCAGCCTGTCCATTTTTTTCCCTTAAAACATACCATTTTATAATGCTTTATTTGTAACTCTTTTAAAACATTGTTAAATTTTATGGTTTGATGCCAACCGCTGTCCCTCCATGTTGTAGGCTCTTGTCTTCCATTTCTTTATATAAAATTAAAAAAAAAAATCCATTCAGGGATTAGTCTTCCAACAACATGTAAAACATGTGCAATTTACTTTCTAAATTCCTATTTTTCTGAAACATTCAGATGCCAGGTATGATTATCATTCAGAAAATTTGTATATTTTACTAAGGTGCTATATTTCTTTTAAGAATTATTCTTAAAGTCCAGCGTTGCCACCGATGACCTACCTGCGGATTCCTTTTGGAGTCTGTCCAATTATGAAGGTGGTCTGGTCTGTACGGTAGACCTTCTTCTCCTTCTGGCTTACAGGATGTGAAAAGTAAAGAGGAAATGAAATGCTTCCTTCACTTGGTGGCTGGTCCTTCTTTGTGTGAGTCAGTGTATCTGCATTCACTTTTTCTTTATATGTCTGAAAAAGGGGAGGAAACAAATACTGTGTTTCAAAAACTAATCATTTTTGGTCCAATAAGGAGCATCACTTACTTTCCCCCAATTTTCTTTATCATAAAGTAGATCATATGCTCCAACTGAGATCACTGTAGAAATGTTAACCTCAGTCTTTAAAATGATGGTACAGGGGAGAATTACCTTTCTCTCTCTCTCTCTTTTTCATTACAAATATCTTTCTTTAAGATATAAAAGTGATGGCAGTAATATATTTTTATTGTCAAAACTGTGGGCATACTAATAATCATGCTGATATCTACTATCCCAAATAAGGGTAAAAATTAATGATTATATAAATAGTGGCACAAAAATGGGATATCTAAAATTTTTAAATTCAGTACTTTCTCTCAAAATTATTAAACAGTCTTTCAGTTATTTAATTTACACAAGTAGATAAATGCAAAAACAAAATCTTTATGTGCTAGTTAAATGAATAAGAAACCATTTTACAAATTCTTCATTTCAACTTCCACTGGGATGCAAGAATATTTAGTGATTTTAATATGTAACTACAGTTGACTGAAATATACAGTCATACTCATTTTATAGACTATGGGTTGGCTGCTTAACATAAATTGTTACCAACAGTAGGTCAAGAAAAAAAAAATTAAACTATATGGCTCCAGTTTTCCTGTCAAGATGGTATAGTGTGAAGAGGTGGAAAGTCCCCACCCCATTCCAAAAAGAGAAATACTGGATACAATTGAACAATAACAAAAAAATTTTATTTGAGCTCAAAAGTAAGAAAGCAGAATCTCCATGCGCCCCAAGCAAGGAAGTAACACAATGGTGAATGGGAGTTGAACTTTGCAGCCCTAGGGGTAGGGTCTTAAGTTATGGTTTGCAGCACTCCATGTGTAAAGGGGAGATGACAAAAATTTAACACTCAGCATTAAAAAATAAAGAAACAAATGAGAAATGCAAAAGGAATGAAAAGGATATTCAATTTACAAATTAAAGCCAGGAAAGCCAAACTTGGGGATACAGGCTAGAAGCTGGCTACCTTCTTACTCTAGATAGAAAGAATCACTGGTGACAAAATGGAACACCCAGATAGAAAGAATCACTGGTGACAAAATGTCCTATTTGTGGAATCTAGTTTTGCACCACCTGGTGGTATGAAAAATCTAAGCTGAAATCAACACAAAAAATTGGCTCAGAATCAGCAAATTATAGATCTCAATGAGGGGTGAATATAAAAACAACCATAGGAAGACTTCCATAATTCAGAAAATGTAAAATTGTAATTCCAATAGAAAAAAAAGAAGTTTAGTAAAAAATTATAAAGAATATATAAAATCTACCACCATGAAAGTGAGTAGATGAAACAAATATGAGACCTCATATCTGAGGAATTATTAATAATAAAGCAATCTGAAAGAGACTTTAAGTCAGTAGCATGTCCAGACAGATAAGGAATAAAATCCGCCAGCAAAAACTGAGCATTATATAGAAAGATTTAAGAAAGAACCAAATGCAAACTTTAAAAAGGAAATACAGTTTTGAAATAAAAAAACAAAGATAGAAACAAACTCAAAATATGGGCTAGGAAGCAGACTAAACAGCCCCATGATGACAGTTGACAAACTGGAATAATAAAATAACTCAGAATGTAGTGCAGAGAAAATAAGAGAAGACATGGAAGAAGACATACCAAAATTTCTAAAACGCTAAAAAGAGAGAAACAGAGAAAATGGAAATGATAATGCTGAACAGATGATGGCAGAGAACTAAAAAAGGCAGGACTCTCAAATTGGAAAAAAGAGAGAATCCATAGTGGGAAAAATGAAAATAAATCTGTATTTGTTATATCACAGATAAAGGGTATACCATAAAAACAACTAAAGAGAACATAAAATATCCTACAAAGAAATGACAAACTAACATCTGACTTCTCACTAATATCATCACTACCAGAAGAAAATAGGATAATATCTTCAATATGCAGAGAAAAAAAAAACACCTGTCTACCTATGATTCTATATCCAGTAAAACTATCCTGTAGGATGTTTTCAGACATACAAAAACTGCTAGAGTATGTTAGACAGATTCTCACTGATGATATAATTATCTTTTGATAGAAGTTCAATGGAATTAAAATGCATGCACTTAGTGAATGTGGGCAGGGAATATCTTTTCATGCCATATTTACTAAGCACCTATTATGTATCTGAGATACAAAGACATTTATATATACAATGGTACCCCTACCCTTAAGGAATTTAAAAGTGACAAGCCATTCTAAAAAATGTGGCACATTTACCTTTTTTTCTTCTAAGACATTTATATTTATTTCTTTAACTTATATTCATGTTCATTGTATTGAAATTGGCAAGAACAACTGTATGTTCTTTAGTAGCAAACCAGTTCTTTTTATTTTTTGAGTCAGGGTCTCACTCTGTCATGCAGGCTGGAGTGCAAGGGCACGTGGCTCACCGCAGCCTCAACCTCCTAGGCTCAGGGAGGCCTTCCATTTCAGCCTCCTGAGTAGCTGGGACTATAGGCCATACCCCACCATGCCCAGCTAATTTTTAAAAATATTTTTTTTGTAGAGACAAAGTCTTACCATGTTGCCCAGACTAGTCTTGAACTCCTCGACTCAAGTAATCCTCTCGCCTCAGCCTCCCAAGTACTGGGACTACAGTTGTGAGTCACCATGCCCAGTCAATCAGTAGATAACAATTTTTAATGAAAACAAATTGACATCTTCCAAAGCTACTATGGCTCAGATGGACAAACACAAAATGCCAGGATATTAGGTTGAACAAGGACTTTACATCAATCAGCAATGCTGAAAGTACTTTCCTTAGAAATATAATTTTAAAAATTGTATCTTAAAGCATTATAATAAAGAGAAAAATAGTGGTCTTTAAAGATAAGTTTGAAAGAGATTGCATTTATTTTTCACTGAAAAACGAGAACATTAAAAGTTTCTAATGATAAGAAACGTCATCCTAGATGATCCCCCAGAAATAATTATTCATTACTATAAGGAGAGATGGTAATTCTTCCATGAAGGTAAGTACAGGGAGTAAGCAGAGAGAGAAGGGACTGGGCCAACCCAGAGCACTCTGTCCTCATACACTGCAATTTCTGAAGCCATGGAGAAATCATGTCAGGCAAGGCAATTTTCAGACATTTATAGGATTACCTTGGTCCTTTCTGACTCTGGCAGCATTATAAAACTCATATTTTATATAGAGTATACATCTTTCTTAAATCAGTTATATAAATTTTTCAGGAAAATTCAGTTTTTGTAACTAGCTATCAGTCATGGATCTTTAATTTTTGTGAACAAAAATTCTTTTAGACAACGTAAAAGGAAAATCACTATTCTCTAACATAAGCTCAATATCCTATCTTTTATTTTTAAAAATCTACCTAGTTTCATATTTCCATTTAATAAGGATTTCAAAACTTTACTGAAACAAGGCTGTGAAACAAAATTTTGTATTTAGTCTGATTATTAAAAAGATTTTAGGACTCAATATGCCAGCTTAGGAATATTCTAAATCAAAGTCCTAAAGGTTACATGTATAAACTATGCGGAGGTATGTATTAGGTTCTTATTGCTGCCATAACAAATTATCACAAAATTAGTAGCTTAAAACAACCTAAGTTTATTATCTTACATTGGGGTGGCTGTGGCAATTTCTTAAAATAAAATGATGAGGTTAACTTTAACTCTTCCTTTCAAGAAAGATTTCTCTATAGCATGTGATGCCGTTTAATAGCATTTTGCCCACAGCAGAGCTGCCTTCAAAACTGTAGTCAACTCTCTCAAATAAGTCACGCAATTTTTTTTCTCAGTACATAAACAAGTTATGTTCACACTGCACTGCAGTCTATTAGGCATGCCATACATTATGCTGCTGACTTCTCAACCAAGATTATGTAATATTCTGAATCTTCTGTTGTCATTTTAATGATGTTCACAGCATCTTCAGTAGAGTCCACCTCAAGAAATCGCCCTCTTCCCTCATCCACAGGAAGCAACTCCTCACCCGTTAAATTTTTACCAGGACATTACAGCAATTCAGCCACATCTTCCGGGTCGACTTCTAATTCTAGTTCTCTTGCTATTTTACACCACACCTGCAGTCACTTCCTCCACTGAATGCTTGAACTTCTCAGTCATTCATGAGGGTTGGAATCAGCTTATTCCAAACTCCTATTAACGTTGATATTTTGAGCTTCTCCCATGAATCACAAATGTTCTTAAGTGGTGAATCCTTTTCAGAAGGTTCTTAATTGACTTTGCCCAGATCCATCAGAGGAATCATTATCTATGTCAACTATAGCCTTATGAAACCTCTCAATCTCTTTCTCTCTCTCCCTACTTCTCTTCTCCTTTTCCCTGTCCCTTTTCTTTTCCTGCCTCTCTCCCCTGCTTTCATTTTTAGAGACAGGGTCTTGCTATGTTGCCAAAGCCGGCCTTGAAGACTCAACCAATCCTTCTGCCTTGGCCTCCTCAGCAGCTGGAACTAAAGGCACATGCCACCATGCCCAGCTCTGAATTTCTTAAATAATAAGATTTAAACCTTGACCCACAGGCTGCAGAATAGATTCTGTTATCAGGCATTACAGCAACATTTATATCCTTGTACATCTCTATCAGACCTCTTGGGTGATCAGACGCATTGTCAATGAACAGCCAGCATTTTGAAAGAAATCTTTTTTTTCCGAGCAGGGCTCAAGAGTGGGCTTGGAATAGTCCGTAAACCATGCTACCAACAACCATGCTTTGTTGTTCCATTTAGAGGGCACAGGCATAATTCTTAGGGCCCCAGGATTTTCAGAATGGTCAGTGAGCACAGGCTTTCACTTAAAGTCACCAGCTGCATGAGTTCTGAACAAAAAGCCAGTCTGTCCTTTGAAGCCAGACATTGACTTTTCTCTAGCTATGAAAATCCTAGATGGCATCTTCTTTCAACAGAAGGCTGTTTTGTCTACATTTAAAAT